TACGAAATGACCCCTGCTAAACTTACTCTACTGAAATGGGAGGATGGCACGATGGACTTGTGATAACTGTAGGCCGCAGCACTAAGGCTGGGACATTGGTATACACTGATGCCAGAAACCATAGTTCTCATGTGGCTCACAGTAGCATGCAGGCCTTAAAACTGAGGCCTACAGTTTCTCTGAAGCCTCTGCTCAGTGTGTCTAAGATGGGGATGAATGGAGCCCAAAACACAGGGCCAATCCATGCTGTACATATATTTTAGAGGACCCATGCTCAACTGGGAAGGGGTTCAATCCATTGAAATCTGATGGCCAAAACTTCCCTTGCACCCACTCGGTACATCAGTAGTTTTGGCGTCTTTAGTCCAAGCTCAGAGCCAGCCGAGTGGAGCCAGGGGTTACGTCTGTGTAAACACACCCACACTCTGGTATCTTACAATGACAGAATTAACTCCAAAGGGTTAGTCTGTTGCAGCAGAGTGGCAAAGAAATCACACGGCAGCTTTAAGACTAACAAATTCCAGCATAAACTTCTGAAAGTCGATCTCACTTCATCAGTGACAGAGCTGTTTTAAAAGAACTCTGCTTAAGTGCCACATGAATCAGGCTTCTGGCTTGGGATAAATCAAAACAGCAAGACTGAAAAGGTTGGGGGGAACGTTTGGAGGTCAAACAACCTCAAATGCATTTTGGACCATTAGCACATTTGTGGGCAAGCATACGCACACCCTTCCTTATTCCCACCGATTCTGTAAACATGAGCCGGAAAGCTACACACACAGTTTCAGTGCTCATTCTCCAGGGTCATCATTTACATCAATGCCCAGAAACTTCTAAGCAGAGCAAAGGGATACATAAGGAACTTCACACTTCTAAGCAGAGCAAAGGGATACATAAACATGTGTCACAACCCATGCTGAGTGTGTCATTACATGCTTGACAGAGACCTTGGCAAAAACACTGCATTCTGAAAAGAAGAGCTCTCGCACCCCTGTGGGCTCAAACAGTGTAAGCACCCTTCACCGAGGATTTTTCACAACCTTCCTCCAACACCTCAAGCGATTCTTAAGACACGGAACCCACACTTCCCATAAGTTCTCTTCGTTCTTCTGATACCCAACTCCCAAAATCACAGGTTGTCCAACCCCCACAAGCCACGTATTGCCACTGGACTGTAGGTGCAAACCGAGTTTACTAGCCAGTTTTATTTGGATTGTCTCCTTAATAATTTCGTTTTGTAAACCATCTTGAAAACCTGGCCCTGGAAGGTCGTGGAGTATACGTTCTAACACAACATACCCACCCAGAACAAATCCATCTAGGCTTCAGATATTACCCTCATTTGAAAGAAGAGCGAGTGACACAAGCCATACAGGCTAAATGCAGGCTTACATACAAAGGGAGCCTGGGAACGGCAGTTCCTCTAGTTCATAGACATCAACTGATGCCCACGACATCACTGGAGGAGTGCGTCACAAGCCCTTCCTCCACCTACCATGTGAAAGCTTCAGCAAAATCCGAATTGCCAGGGCTTCCCCTTACCCCTCCCCTGGGAGACCACGTGCTCACTTCCTCATGCACTTGAGTGAACTCCAAACAAGACGTCTAGCTGCTGCCAACACAAGCAAGGCTAGCCTTGTCTCCCCCTGTTACCATGGGCCGGGGAAAATACATCTCCATCCAGCTGTGCGAAGACCGCCCTCTCAATGCTGTGGCAGCACTCCCCTGAGAACTCCCCTCCCATGCCCCAAAAAGGCCTTCAAACAATCCGAGATGCCACTCTCAAGGGGACGGTAGGTAAGCCTCCAAGGCATGAGATGCACCCAAACCTTACTCAACTCCCAGCTTGGGATAAAATAATTATTATTAATTGTAGGATAGATAGCCGATCAAAGCAGACACAATGGAACGAGCTCGAGCATTAGTACCGGATTGAATTAATGACGCGTGCCTCTCTCATATTAAAAGGCGTCACACATGTACACTCACACACACCAAATAAAAGACTGCTGAAGCAGTAAAGCAGCCCTCACACGATTGAAATGGTATTTACGAGAGGTTCCTGTATAAGCGCTTCAGTCATAAACAGGCATATTAGAGAAGCTAAGCATTAAAATCCCTCTGAGGACCCCCCCCCATAATCCTTTGCTGTAGCATTAGTGCTCAGCTCTCTACTTCGTGCCAACAGAATTATAGATTTTAACCAAGCCCAATGAAAGGCTCATTAAGAAGCAATAGATTAAATTTATATGCATCTAGCAACAGCCTGGTGCCTTTTGCAACCCATTTTTTTTTCCCTCTGCCACACAAGGAGACCATCACAGCGATCCACACAGCAGGCCTCAGCCATCCACAAACTGCAACTATTGCTCCACAGCACAACACAGAGATGCAGGAATACACAAGGGAAGCTATTCATCATCTTAGGAAACCACAGAAAGGGACATCGCCGTCTGGTCACCAACCTCTAACACATCTTTTGTTCGTTGGTCGTTATGGAAATGGTTTACGATGAACAAAAACTTGAACAGCTCATGTGTCAATGTATGACATCTGAGACAGTGAGCAGTCAGATGTCGCCTCACACTGAATTTAAACGTCACAAAACCCTGAATCACTCTACGTGATCAGCCAAAAGCTGAATTTAGCAGACGGTGGTGAATGTCCATGACTGCTCAGAAATATGCTGGGGACAGCCAAGAGTCAGCACACGGTGGGCTCTTTCGCCCCTCGCACAGCTAAAAGGGACATTAGTGGCTACAGAATAGGCAAGCCTGAACAACTGATGATCCACCATGCCTGTCCACCATACCTTGTGGACTGGTCCACCAGTTGCTTCCCCATCGACTTTGCTTTAGATGCAGGCTGGCTACACACACAGGATACCTCACTCTCTAGTGGCCTCTTGTTACCTTGGTAAATCATAAGCTGTGAAGGCCTAAAATTGTGGCCAGCAAGTCTGCTAGGACCAGGCAGTGGAAAGCTCGGTCCTCCTCTTCCCCTATCTCTTGAACCATGGAAAAAGCTGAGAGAGACATATTTCTGGGCGTGCTTCATAAGCAACACTTTCCTCTCACTACTCCTGAGAGGAACTTGCAGCAGCAACAGGAAGAGGAGGAGGAGATTGGATTTATACCCCGCCCTTCACTACCCAAGGGAGTCTCAGAACGGCTTACAAACTCCTTTCCCTTTCCCTCCCCACAACAGACACCCTGTGAGGGAGGTGGGACTGAGAGAGCTCTGACAGAAACTGCTCTTTTTCAAGAACAGCTCTTATCAGAACTACGGCTTGCCCAAGTTCATCCAGCCAGGTGCAAGTGGAGGAGTGGGGAATCAAACCCGGTTCTCCCAGATTAGAGTCCGCGCACTTAACCACTACACCAAACTGGCATGCCCACGAAAGTTTATATCCAGGATTAAACTTTGTTGGTCTTAAAGGTGCCCCTGGACTCAAACTTTATTCTATTGCTTCAGACCAACACGGCTACCCACCTGAATACATTTAACGACAGATAGTAGATCAGTGCTTCCACATAACTGTCTCAGGGGTCCAAAACAAACCATCAGCATCTCTAGTTTATAAACGTATACAGCCTTGATGGAAAAAGAGTCTGTTTCAGATCACTGGCCCAGAGGATGCAGCAGAAATCTCTTATCTGAAATTACCAGTTTCTCAGCCCTGCCAATGCTTCTAACTGTCTGTTGGAGACAGGGAACAGAAGTTTAAATGTCAAATGACAGGAAATAAGGATTACTGCAAACTCCATACAGCCTCATCTTTCAAAAGGTCCTGGGGAACAACAGGTATGAATTCAAACCAAGATGAGCAAGTAATATGGACGTAGGCAGGGAACTACATGAAAGTAGGCGGGGAGAAGACAATTCTATTATTCAAAGACAAAATACATGCATGATTGTCATGATTATTTTAGCCTTACAAAAACAAAGCAGGAGCCTGGCCACCCAGAAAGATACCACTAAGCGGACCAAGGGGAAAAAACAAGTAACCCACTAGCCTTTGAAAGTTATTTAATTAAATCCAGCACTTAAAACCCAAGAAATCTGCTGCAAACTATCAGACCAACCAGACATATGCAAGTGAAAACAATGTTCCCTTTGCAAGGCTAGCTATACAAATATTGTTACAGTGCACAAAAGGAAAAATCCCATGTCCCTTACTGTTTGTTACATGCGCCGCTCATCCCGCTTTCAGATGTAAATTCCTGGCTGCCATTACAATCCCTCCTCTCCTGGTCTGTGAACTCCTGTGGCCCAAGAGCCCATCCCATTTGCGCTTCTGCTTCCTTGCAGAAATTGCTGTAGTTACAAACCAAATTTCATATCCCATTTTCAGGAGATCACAAACGTTCCATATCCTGACATTTCTAAACACCAGGATGTGCTCAACTCTGTGTTTCAACTCTGGGAAAGTCTCTTAATTTTGCTAAACATATAGGTTCCTAACAGTGCTACCTTAAGTGGACTTGCAGCCTTCTAAGCCCACTGTCTTCATTGGGCTTAGAAGGGTGCAACTCTGCTTAGGAAGGCACTGTAAACCTCTTTCACTTGGAAGCACCATTCCAGAATCCCACAGTGTTTAGCAGAAGACTGGTACAGCAGGAAGACAGTCAACCTATCAAATCCCAAAGCAGTGTTTGCATACCTAAGCGCAGGATTAATTACCATTCTGACTGCTATATGTGATCCCTCGGTGTAGGATATCAGAGGATTACTGAAAGCCAGGGCGCTATACATAGTAATGTCACTCCATTCCATTGTCTGAGCAAATGATGTCTGACCTACTTTTGCTTCTTTCTCTGGCTTAGTTCGCATACACATTTTTCTTTCTTTTTTTAATTTCACCATTTCTTGGGGGGGATCTGGCCTTCAGTGCAAAAAAACCCCCCACATACAGGTTTTTTTAAAAATATATTAGAAATATAGTAAGATCTCTCATAGGAATGTGTTTATACAAGGGGGGGGGAAATCAAACACTGTACCTCAAGCTCGGTTTCTCTCCGATTAATATCATCTGTGGACTGATTCAACTTTTCAAGCTCCCCCTGGAAGAAAGCCAAGAAACAAGCTCATGTCAAGCAGGGAGGAACTGACACAACAGGGAAGGAGGGAGGGTTATTAAGTGTCATCTGGCATTTCGCACAGGGGCCCCAGCTGGAATGTTAAATGGAAACAGAGAGCTAGAAAACATTTAAAGAGCAAAGCAGAACTCAGCTGCCTTAAGACATCTGTAGTAAGACTATTTAGGGGGAGAGCTTGAGAGATGTTCCAAAGATTTAAACTGTCGTCCTTACAGCTCTGAGTGGTTCTTGTTTATCACTAAAGTCCTGTGTTCCTGGTTAGATTTGGGGCCACCCTCATATGAGCCTCAAAGTCCCCGCAAACTTACTAGGAGAAGAGGTTTGCTCAGTGGCAAGCGAACCAGCATTCAAGAGAACGGACCAGGTTTCCTTCTCACTATTTCCAATTCCTGTTCCAATACTGCATCCTTTTCTTTTTATATTTAACTGTAGTACAATGATAATACTTAGACATTGTGCAGTGCTTTTTAACTTCCAAACCCATACAAGACCTCAGTCATCCTTACAAGAACCTTTTAAGGCAGGTCAGCATTATCATCTCCACAGAGTCAGGGGAGGGAAAGATAATAGCATGCATGAGGTCACTGGAGCTCATCGCTGAGATGACAGGTGAACCAGAGACTTCTGGGCTCATACTCCAGAAGATCTCAGCCAAGTCACTTGGCTGAACCACTCTCTCCAGTCCACATGGGTGAAAAGAAATGCATTTCTAATTAAGATGGTACCATGTTCTTGAATGCCCAATTGATGCCCAAGCAGGAAGGTGTATTTATATATGAATTTCAACTTTTTTTGCATTTTGCATTGCTTAAGAGATTAGTTTTATCAGATCCATCTTTTTGTACATGAAACTGCACACAATTAGGAGTGGCTTTTTCGCCTCACCCTCTCCTCCTGGCATGGAAGGATTTAGCACTTAAAGGCCCAGTTCCTCTCTAAGAAGCTTTAGAGGGGTTTTCAATCCACAGCTGCTTAAAGTTGATGTTTTCTTGTAATTAAACTATCATGATGTGCAGGGGTACTGGTGATCACTGGCAAGGACGAGAAAACCCATGCTGATCAAACTGAGAAGGTTTTCCACACAGCAACCTTGCCTGTTTCACCACAAACCAAGACAGGGAAAAGGAAGTGTGGGGGGGGGTGAGAGAATATAAATTCAGAAAGGGGAGTTAGATGCTTTCAGACTGACAACCTCCACTTCAGATGGGATTGGGGCTGATGACCACAAAGCAGCAGGGATCACCATCTGGCACAGGCAAAAGGAGGGGGGGGAGTGTCTTCTTCCAAGCTAGATGGAGTGGAGGCGGAATACTGAGCTGAGGCGACAGCAGTGCGGCCTTGTGGTTAGAGTCCCGCTTTCAGGTGCATATCCTCACAGAGCCAGGAGGCTCGCTCGGTGACCTTGAGCCAGCCGGAGTCTCTGTGCTGGCGCCAGATCTAAAAGGGGGAGGGGAGTCAAATGAAAACCGGGCGCAGCGTCTTGATCTATTGTGGCTAAATAAAGTTGCGGCCGGGGATGAAAGGCAGTAGCCGGAACTGGCGGCGATCGTTCCAGTGCCGCTCTTTCTTTTTTTTTAACGCCTCCAACTATTCCGGCGGCCCCGAGAGCCGCCCTTGCCTGCGTCCCCCTACACTGCCAGGCCAGCCACACCGACTCCGCCATCCCAGAAGGCTCCGAGCGAGCAAGAGCCCGGCCCGCTGACAGCTCCAGGAGCCGCAGAGAAGGGCCGGGCGATGCCCGCCTGCGCAGGCGCCGCCGCCACTTGCAAAGGCGAGAGCCTTCGGTGCGTCCCACGCGCCCTTTCCGAGGGAAGCAGCCCCTGGCGCTGGCGGCGCGGTGCCGGCTAGCTGCAGAGCCACCTCCGCGGATACCTAATGAGGGGTCCCCACCCGCCCTCCGGATTGCAGGGGGGGGTGTCTATAGGGGGCCGCCCCTTCCCCAGAGAAGGCATCCAGCAGCGCCGCCGCAACCCCCGGGCGCGCACCCACCCACCCCGCCCCCCTTTGCAGGGCAGGCTGCACCACCGCGAAGCCGAGGGGCGTGAGCGCGGGCCCACCTGGATGCGGGGGTCCACTTCTTCCTCTTCTTCCTGCGGCGGGCCCTCGCCCTCTTCCCCCCGCGTCCTCCGCAGGGCAGGGTCCATGTCCGACCGAGCAAGGAAGGGCTCTCCGGCCACGGGGCTGCTGCTGCTGCACGAGCACCTCGCTCGCTCGCTCCCTCTCTGGAGTCTCCCCGCGCCGAGCCCCTGCCCCTGCCCCTCGTTCCGGCCCCGGCGAGGAAGGCGCTGAGGGACGGCGCTCCGCTTCGCCTCGCCCCCTTCCTGGAACTGGCGCTGCGGTTCCCTCCCTCCCTCCGTCCCTCTTCTCGTTCCCTCCGACGCTCAGGCATGGTCCGCCCTCCGCCTCTTTCCGAGGCGCCTAAAGCAGAGGCTCGGTTGGCTCTCTAGTGCGGTCGGCATTGTATTCTGCCGCCCCCCGTTTCTGTGCTCGCTTCTCTCCCAAAGACCTCATCATATTACTGGGGACGGGGAATAAGTCGGGCTTCGTCAAGTGTTTGCTTTTGCTTATCAGGCCTTTGGTGAGGAGGCCGGGACATTTAAAAAAGGGTTGCCATTGCCAGCAAACTCCAAGTTGGGAAATACCTGGGGGTTTTGGGGGGGCGGGGATCGCAGCAGGGTATAATGCCGTAGAGTCCACCCTCTAAAGCCGCCATTTTCCCCAGGGGAACTGATCTTGGGGGTCTGGAGATCAATCATAATAGCGTGAGATCTCCAGGTGCCACCTGGAGGTTGGCAACTTCAGGGCAAAATACAATGTTCCGTGTGTTATGTTGGGAGGGGGCTCATCCTGTACCTGCGGAAAGGCTCCCCCTTCGTTCCTCCAGAAAGGGGGGGGGAGTAGTTGTGATTGCTTCATATAGATTTCATCTTTAGGAGACTTCCATGTAGAAAGTGTGTAAGAATACCCCCCACACACAAAGTTCATCCTGTGTGATGAAAGGTACAAACACCTGTTATTTAAATAGGATTGCCAACTGCTGCTTGGGAAACACCTGGAGATTTGGGGAGTGAAACCTGTGGAGGGTGGCGTTTGGGAAGGGGCGGGAAACACATATAATACCATTGAGTCCGCCCTCCACAGCAGCCATTTTCTCCAGGGTACCTGATCTCTGTCACCAGGAGATCAGTTCAGACTCTGGGAGATCTCCAGCTCCGACCTGGAAGTTGGCAAGCCTATAAGTCATCTTAATGTGTACTGTACCAGATTACACAAAATAACTATTAACATAATACTATTTGATTGCTTCACACAAAATATGGAAATTACTTTCACGTCCTTCATTATGACTGCCTGTATTCCAGGCTTGAGTTTGGGTAGATTAAAGAAGCTTGAAGGCTAAGCCCCAGTAATAATAAAAAGAACGTGCCATCGAGTCACAACCAACACATGGTGACCCATCCAGGGAGCGTTCCAGGCAAGACACAAACAGAGGTGGTTTACCATTGCTTTCCTCTGTGTAGCAAGCCCACTCCTCCTTGGCAGTCTCCCATCCAGGTACTGATGGCAGCCAACCCTGCTTAGCTCCCAGGCTCTTGATGAACTCAGGCTAAGTTGGGCTATTCAGGATGCTCTAGCCCTAATAAGACCCTGTGCCATTTAAGGCCTCCCTGCAGTAGGGAGAGATAGTTCGCACATATATATTCATCACAATGATTGTAGCATCAAAAATGGGGTACTTGCATGCATGAATCGGCCATGACAGGTCCCACATTGCCTCCAACACTTCACAGTGCTGTTAGGCCACACATCAAACAAGTCAAGTGCTGAGAAATCACATACAGTTACTAATTGCTCTGGAGCCATCCTTCCTGAGCTAAGACAAAAACGTGTGAGCCGAAGGCTAAAAAACTGTGAGCTAGCTCACACTAACTCAGCTTAGAGAGAACACTGCTTGCATGCATGCATTGGCCATCACAGGTCCCACACTGCCTCCAACACTTCACAGTGCTGTTAGGCCACACATCAAACAAGTCAAGTGCTGAGAAATCACATACAGTTACTAAGTGACATGCATGCATCAGCCAAGCATCCTTTGATCATTTTTAGCTAGAGGTATGAAACCAAATAAACCAAAAATAAAACAGCTATAGTGAGAAAGTTCAAATAACAGTGGCCTGGTTGCATCTTTATGGGTACATTCACACAACCATATTGGATAGTTTTGTATGAGGGCGCATGGCATCCACACCAAGTTCAAAGCAATTGTGTGATTGCTCCAAAATACCCCCAGGCCACTCTCAGCCACCCACCTGGCCAAGCAGTTCAGTCTTCATTTGCTTATGCAGATGTTTGTTGTTGTTCAGTCGCACAGTCGAGTCCGACTCTTCGCGACCCCATGGACCAGCTCCCGCCAGGCCTTCCTGTCTTCCGCCGTTCTCTGAAGTTGGCTCAATTTCATGTTCGTTGCATCTTTGACACTGTCTAACCATCTCATCCTTTGCCGTCCCCGTCTTCTTTGACCTTCAATCTTTCCCAGCATCAGGGTCTTCTCCAGTGAGTGCTCCCTTCTCATTTGGTGGCCAAAGTATTTGAGCTTCAGTTTCATTATCTGGCCTTCCAGGGAACAGTCAGGGTTGATTTCTTTTAGGATTGACTGATTTGATCTTCTTGCAGTCCAAGGGACTCTCAAGAGTCTTCTCCAGCACCTCTCTTGCTTTCTCCATAATCCAGCGAATGTTGGCAATTTGATCTCTCGTTCCTCTACCTCTTCGAAACCCAGCTTGTACTTCTGGCAGTTCTCTATCCACGTACTGTTGAAGCCTAGCTTGTAGGATCTTGAGCATGACCTTGCTAGCGTGCGATATGAGTGCAATTGTGCGATAGTTTGAGCATTCCTTGGCATTGCCCTTCTTTGGGATTGGAATGTATACTGACCTTTTCCAATCCTGTGGCCACTGTTGCGTTGACACATCCCATATGCAGATGACACATCCCATAAATGTACACTGCAGTAGTAAATGACTAGGAGAGGAGTCCAGCCATCTGAATGTAACCTTCCTTGTCAGATTGATAGGCTGTTGCTATTAAGCCAAATAGTTCACTCATTAGGGCTCAAATGGGCAACAGCTGGGAGAATGATGATCCGTTAGGGTTTCCAACTCTGGGTTGAGAACTTCCTGGAGATTTGGGGGTGGAGCCTGTGGAAGCTGGGGTTTGAGAGGTACGAAATTACTGTGACCAAAAAAATACAGTTGGATGGTTTGATAGCGAATGCTATAATATTAAACACCGAGTCCGTTCTATTTACTACCTTTTTAGGGAGTATAACTGGACCCACCTTCCAGATGAGTATTTCAATTTAAAAAACCAGTTACATCAAATAGTTAAGATAAAATATAAAGAGCACACTGAGAAACAATGGGCTAACCTCCTTCAGGCTACATTGTCAAATGACTCCAGGAAATTCTGGACGTTGGTGTCAGATAAACAAAAAGAAGAGTGCCCGGACTTCCGGTTGATGGCAGTGCGCGAGCAGACTCACCTCCCAGACCACCTGGGGGTGAAGCTGCACACCAGCAGAAGGAGGGGGTGCGCAGGATTGTCACACCCCCGGGGCCCAGTTGAAGGGTCTCTGGCCATGGGACTGTACCGTAGTCGATAGAACAGGAATAATGCCAGAGTTTTGGACAAATGCAGTACTGGTTCCCATCTTTAAAAAGGGTAATTATCAGTTACCATCCAATTACCGTCCGATAAGCCTCCTCTCTGTTATTGGGAAACATTATGCTATATGACTGGTTAACAAACTTGGATCTTGGATGTTAGAACAAGGATTTCTGGGTCAAGAACAAATAGGTTTTTGTAAAGGGGAATCCACCCTAAATCACTGTGTGACTCTTATGTTACTTGTTAATAAGTATAAGAGGCAAAATAAGGCTTTGTTCACACGAGAGGTTTTGGGCCGGGAGAGGGACGGATCGGGGCCGCAGCAAATGGGCACGATCCCACAGCAACATCTGGGAATCGTGCTGCGCCCGTTCCCAGCCCGTTCCCAATCCGCCCCTCCCGGCCAAACCCCACAGCAAAAAAGAACCACCTACCTAGGTGGTTCTTTCTGAAAGGCTGCATCACTGCCGGCCATGGGATCGCCGGCGCGTCTTTCCGCCAGCACATTCCCGGCCCCCGGCCGTACTGCGCATGCTCGAGCATGCGCAGTTCGGCAGCCTCCCCCTCCCAATCGTCTCTTCCTCCCCAGCATCTGATCGTGCCGGGAAGCAACGGCGCCGCAACTCAGGATCGTGGGATCCTGCCGCGGCGTCTCTTTTTTGGTGTGGCTTTTAAAAGCTGCACTTTGGCCAGTGTTTTCCCTGCCGTGTGGCAGGGGCCTAAGTGTGACTCTTATGTTACTTGTTAATAAGTATAAGAGGCAAAAAGGCAGCAAAGTATATGCAGCCTTTCTAGATCTAAAAGGTGCTTTTGATTCAATCATAAGAGAACGTCTATGGGAGAAACAGAGTTGGTATCTTGGTTTGTTGCAGGCCCAGGTCCATGAGTCCGTGCCCATGTTAGGAAGGTATTGTTATGGATAAAAAGTTTTCTACGGTTGGGAGGCTATCTGTGGGCAAGAAAATGTTTGCCTCCCAATGCCTGGAGAGGGGAATATCATTGTCCATTATAGGCTGTAGATCATTAATGACGTGTTGAACCGGCTTTAGCTGAGACCTGTATGTGACCCCCAGTGGTGCTCTGTTGTTGTTTCATTTGAGCTTATCTTGTAGCAGGTTATCGCTTCATACCATTCTGGCTTTGTTGATCTGTTTCCTTACTACATCAGGTGGGTATTGTAATCCCAAGAATGCGTGCTGTTGATCTGCAACAATGAGAACATTTTTAATCTTCCAGATCATTTCATTGCTGACCTGAGAGGGGCAGTCCTCAAACAAAGGGACATCAATGGGAAATTGCAGCACGAGATTGCTGAACATGAGTTCATTCACACATTCAGAACAATGGGACACACACACACACACACCCAGGCTAAACAGGGCATAGGAGTCTTATCTCACTTCAGATACCAGTTTTCTGCCCCCAAGCATTTCCCCTTTGCTCTAATCAAGATGATCACAACATGCATTGTACTTAGGGTTGCCAGGTCCCCCCCCCCCCCCCCGCGGTCACTGATGGGGAAGTAGAGGTGCCAGATCCAGGTTGAGAAACTCCTGGAGATTTGGGGAGAGAGCCTGGGGAAGACAGGGACCTCAGTGGGGTACAATACCATAG